ATTCCTGCTTTTCTGGGTTTCTTTGTTGGTTGTGCATACTGGAAATTCTCTGCTTGTATTTGCATCAATAACTGAAGTTTTATGTTGTGTTTATTTCTTGCCTATTCATATGGCCTTTGCTTATATTTGAAGACCATGGCCCTGGATTTTGGTGTATTTAGCAGATATTTTTTTTTATCATTATTTAATAGCCAATATTGCTGCTCTCATTAATAGTTTTTATTATAGTGTAAAAACCAATATGTCTATCTCATCTTTTATGCTCGTTCTCAAGTTACACACTCTCTCTTTCTTGCCTCCCTTTCTTAGAAACACAATAGATTATTGTTGAAACATTCTTTTCTTTTTTAAATAACTCCTAAAGGGTGTTTGCTTCGTGTTGAATGTGTTGTTTGTGAGTTTTTCTAACTTTACCCTGCTATGTCCTTTTGTATTACTTGCCACATTATTCTGTACATGTTATCTGTTGACAGGAGTGATATTATATTACTACGATCAGAACGTGACAAGATGGCTCTAGATGCTAAATTTGCTAGAGAAAGACTTGATAGTTTCATGAAAGAATTTGAACATCAGGTGAACTTTTAAATTTACTGTCAACTCCTCTATACTAGTGCTTTAAGATATGCTATTTATCCTAATTAGGACACATGTTAAAGTGTTTATTTTATGTAGTTCTGATTGCATTTTCTATGTGACAGAGAAATGAAATGAATGGTGTTCTATCAAGAAATGTGGAGTTTTCACAGTTGATAGTTGACCATCAAAGAAAGTTGCGTGAAAGTTCAGAAAATTTGGTTGCATCTGAGGAACTTTCTCGGAAGTTAAATATGGAGGTTCGAGATTTTTCATCCCAACGTTGTTGATTTTGATAATATTGAATAATTTTGAGTAATTACATGTTCCTTCTTGACAGGTGTCTGTTCTAAAGCTTGAAAAGGAGATTTTGTCAAATGCTGAAAAGAGAGCATGTGATGAAGTTCGTAGTTTGTCGGAGAGGGTTTATCGCCTTCAGGTCTGTCTGAAAAGTAACAGTCCAACTTTCGATTCTAACAATTGGTGTTTGTGTTCTAATCTTTTTGAATGTGTGCAGGCTACTTTGGACACTATTCAGAGTGCCGAGGAGGCTCGTGAGGTTGGCTGTCTTAATCGTGCATCATGTGTTCTTGTATTTTGAATTGGTTTGAGTATTATTACACCTGATTTTCTTCCTGGAAACTATAGGAAGCAAGAGCTGCTGAGAAGAGGAAACAAGAGGAGTATGTAAAAAAAATTGAGGTGTGTTTAGTTTGCAATTGATCAATGGTTTATTTTTGCAAAAGATGTGCTTGCTTCTTGTTTTCACAAAATTTCCTTGTAAACAGCTTTTTATTACTGAAAATTGTGCTGCTTTTATTTTGTCTCCCAGGTTGCTAATTTTTCTTCAGAGTTCTTTGATTTTATATGGCATTGCTTGGGTGAACATAAACTGTCTGCTAAATCATTGCTCAGACCACTCTTTGACAAACACCAATGCATAATATCAATAAAGTAGTCTTATAGTGCTGTATCGTGCTAGATAAAATGATTTAATTGGATGCTTTGCTTAAATATTATTCTTGTAGAGGGAATGGACTGAGGCCAAGAAAGAGCTGCAACAGGAGCGGGACAATGTTAGATCTCTCACATCTGACCGTGAACAGACGTTGAAGAATGCCATGAGGCAAATTGATGACATGGGGAAGGAATTGGCTAATATGTTGCATGCTGTTTCTGCTGCTGAAACTAGGGCTGCTGTTGCTGAGGTATTTATTGCTTTGCAACTTGATGCCTCAGTACTTGTTTTTCATTTCTGTACTTTAAGCTCAAATATTAACATGTTTCTTTTAATCTAATGGAGCATCATCTGATTGTCCCTTTTCTTGATATTTATCAGACCAAACTCTCCGAGCTGGAGAAGAAGATGAAAGTTTCGGATGCTAAGGTATGCCTTCCCCAGATTCTAGTTGTTTTGTTGTTTAGAATTTTTTTTTTTTATTATAAGTATCTTTGTTGAATACAATAGTTCTTCATTGATTTGTCACTTTTCTGCAATGTTGTCAATCATTTATTCTCTGATCAATGATCTGCTCTCTCTCAATAAAATATTGTTGTTTTATTCAATACGATATCAAAATGATTAAGACTGTCAGTGGTATTATTTTATAGTGTGCATTTTTCATATGCCTTTAAATCCAATTGTTTCTCTCACCCAACCTTTCACTTCATGATGATTCAGGCTGCCAGTATGGATGACAGTGGCATATCTTCTTCTATTTCAGCTACTGAGGTCAGTGGAGTTAATTATTGGTAGTTCCTATTTGACTTTTTGCTTGTGCTCGTGCATGATAATTTGATAACCAATGTTTTGTCATGTTCCACTTTAGAAGAAGGTTTTAGAGGATTGATTAACATATATTAGCTTTGTACTAAAACACATCATTGTGTACTTAAATTTTCTTCTGTCACAATTTTAGAGTCCTTTTATTTTATTTTTGGATGGCTTCATGTTTTGATGTGAAATTCTCTTCCTTATAGCTTGTATTTGTTCGATTAAGTTTTGAATCCATGGAACAATATACAACTATAGAAATGAAACACCAGCTGAATAATATTAAAGAGAGTTGGAATGTTATCATGATCCCATCCCTCTTTGATCAATTTATTGCATTTTTATGAACATGTCTAGTTCAATATGCTCTCCAAGTTTATAGTGATGCTTAATGGGTTACATACCTTTTGAATACAAGTTTAGGGCGGAATCATTTCATTTGGATATTTCTGTGTTATCAGTGCCGATATTGTTTTGGCATGTACATTGCATGTTCTTTTTGGAGGCCCACTGTCATATTCTAATTAAATGTGTTATTTGTTGATAATTAACTATTTTTTTGGAAAGTCTAGAGTATTGCTTAGTTGAACTTTTTTTTTTTTTTCCAAATGTGTGCAAGGTTGTTACGGATTTGCTTATGGCAAAGGATGAGATAAAAAAATTAAAGGAGGAAGCTCGGGCTAGCAAGGAGCACATGCTACAGGTAAAACACCTGATGACACAATAAGTCAATATTCACTTCACATAATAAGTCAATATTTTTTCAAGAAGGTTAGTAATTGCACCTTACATATTTCATTGCAGTATAAGAGTATAGCACAGGTGAATGAAACTGCTCTAAAGCAAATGGAAGATGCCCATGAAAACTTCAAGAAAGAGGTATGTCATTGTTACGCGAGCTAAGTGTTGAGTTTCTCAGCAATATCAAGTACCCAAATACATCCTCTCTAAAAATGGTGCTTTTCTAACATCCACCAGTCAGAGAAGTTAAAGGAGTCACTAGAAAATGAACTTCTTTCTCTGCGGGGGAGGATCTCAGAACTCGACAGAGAATTTAGTAAGAAGTCTGAAGAGGTGGCCTCTGCAGCTGTAGGAAAAGCTGAGGCTTTTGCTTCTGCTTTGGCAGAAATTACCTGTTTGAAGGAAGAAAACTGTAGTAAAACGTGAGATATACTCCATTGCATTTGTGTGTGTGTTTTTTTTTTGTGTAGTCCTTAAGAACTCTCTCATTAGGCCATTTGCCTGCAGCTCTCAAATTGTAGTGTTGGAATCTCAAATTTCTGCTTTGAAAGAGGATTTGGAAAAGGAGCATGAACGTTGGCGTGCTGCTCAAGCCAATTATGAAAGACAGGTTGATTTGCTAGTTTATTCTTATTTTTAGTATTTAAATTTGTGCATAAAGGACGTGAGTTCTATCCCCACTTGTAGTGTAGAATTTGGTTTTTGTTGAATTTGTGTATCTCTTAATTTTTGGAAAATGTTTCTATTTAATAAAATTATTTATAACAATCATGCCTATTATGATCAGGTGCATGGATCCTACTGAAATTCTCTTTTTTCCTGGTGTTTTTTAAACTTCTGTTTTTCTAGGTTATTCTACAATCAGAGACAATTCAGGAGTTGACGAAGACATCACAAGCTTTATCCTTGCTACAACAAGAAGCATCTGACCTTCGTAAATTGGTGGATACACAGAAAAGTGCAAATGTAATCTTTCTATTTTGTATTGTGCCTTTTTGGCTGTTTTCTGAATTAATTTTGTTTTGGATGATTTTCAATTAGCTTAGAGCTTACGATACCTGGTAGCTTTTGGATCATGTTACAATGACGTTTGCTGGTTCATTTGGCTGAAGTATCTTATCTAAGTTGCGAGTGCAGGAAAAACTTTTGAGGATTATATCCTTGTAGTTGTAACTTCCCATCTAATAACGAAGAATAAGAGTGTTTAGTATTCATGCCATGCAATATGTGGAATAGGATGTGCTAGCAAACCTTGTTGGGTGATAAATGTGTTGCAATGATTGCCAAAATGGTGACTGTAGAGATGGAGAACCAATATTTATTATATGGAAGCATTTTTTTGTGAATGGTGTGGTGGTTCAGATTGGAGTTCAGTGAGACTTCTCTGTAGAGTATGCTTTCTGTTCTAAATTTACTGACTGCACATGGTTGGGCTTGAATTTGAAAGAGAGTTGTTAAATGAAACTGAGAGAGTATGTTGAGTATGAAATTCGCTTGAGGAAGTTGTGTTTGTGCAATTTTGTGAAGTTTCTTTTGATTTCATTTATTGTTCTTAAACAACATGCTTTTTGTTTGACAAGCTTGAGATTTCAATTAGTTGCCTGCACATGCTCTGCATGTGATTGCTAGTTGTGAGAGGGTTTATATATCAATATTTCATGGTGTGTGGGATAGCCAATCATGCCTTGGGTTCTCTTGCTTCTTTTTGAAATTCTTACATTTTAAGTGATAGACTTCACAGGCTGCTTTTATAATTTGCAGGACGAGCTTAAGTCTAAGTGGGAGGTAGAGAAATCAATGATTGAAGAATCAAAAAATCAAGCAGAGAAGAAATATGATGAACTGAACGAACAGGTCTTTTCTCATTTTCCGTTGCTCTAATCTATTCTGTCTTGCTTTCTTGCTATGTAATGTCCAGTAATTTTAACTATTAGGAAATATAAGACCACTTCTCCGTGAGATTATTATTAATTGTTTTGCAATATAATACCGGTAGCTTTGATTTTGCTTGGCTGTTGGATGACAAAATTGCTTTGATGTTTACTTTTCCATTCTTGTATAAAAATAGAAACCTCTGGGTAATTTTGAGTATTTTGTATTTTGTGTATATTATAATTTTATGGTTCTTGTTGTCATGTTACTAATTTATGCCCCCATCATCATACTGTAGAACAAATTGCTGCATAGCCGGCTTGAGGCTATTCACATTCAATTGGCTGAGAAGGATCGAAATGCTGCTGGAATTTCTTCTGGAAGCAATGCTTCAGGATTAGGCAGCGATGCTGGGTTGCAGAATGTGGTTAACTATCTTCGAAGGTCAAAGGAAATAGTAAGTTTCTTTCAGATCAAGTATTATTCTTCTTCTGCACTGAAGCAAAGCAGGACTTCTCTAACTTCCTATCCCATCAACAGGCAGAAACAGAGATTTCTTTGCTAAAACAGGAAAAGCTTCGACTGCAATCACAAGTACATCTTCTCCAGTTTCTTTTATTATATTGTGGTGGTCTGAAAATGTCATAGTGCAGCATCAGGCACAAATGAAACTATGTTATATCAAATGTTAACTGATTTTCCTATGCTGTCAAAACTTTCTGCGCAATTTTTTTTGTTTTTCTTCTTATTGGTGCTTCAATGGTCCACAGCCCCAACTTGAGTTGGTCTCACTTTTTGCATGTTTGTGCTTTATACCAGATTAGTAATTTGTAAAAAGATTTGATTCTCTTATACCCATGCAATTGCTTTTTCTAATTGATTACTGATGCTCGGGTGATTGATTTTGGTTTTAAATTACTGGACTGGTCTCCCTTGTGCCAATATGGTAGGTGGTTCCACATCTTTTAAGAATGGATCTTTTGGGACCAAACTGAATAATCCTGAAGGAATCTAGACAAAACATGAGTTCCTGTAAGAATTGCATTGATATTTGTGCCTCTAGGCTAGTTGATATTTTGTTAACAACACTTTTGTGTTTCACTTTTAAGCTATTCATGTCTTAGGCATCAAAAATCTTCTCCACCAGTCATCATTGTCTTGATTGAGCTGATATTCCTCTTGGCTTGATCAGTATAGATATTAATCTTTCTTCTTGAAATTGCTTGTGAGTTTTGACTACCTTGTGAGGATGCTACTTGTGAACTGTATATTCACTATTTCTTTTTAGTATTTGTACACCGTACATGCAGTTGGCTTGACACATTTATGTAGTTATCATTTGTAACTTTGGGTAAGTATTAGCTAGGAATGCTTTTTGTTAACAAGCTCCATGTTAAGACTTAATATTTACCAATTTTTTTATGTTAGAACTTATACTGATTGTTAGAGGTACCCTTATATGTACTACACTGGACTTGCTTTTTGGACGATTACACATGCATGTAGATATCTTGGGACTATACTCTTGTATATGTTGGTACTAGCATCAATGAAAGGGGATGTTCTCCTCTAATAACATCATTTTTTTTTTTTTGCCTGAGTGACACAAAGTTCATAGCAAAATGGAAAATGTACAATTTACAAATTTGGTTGTTTTGGTTGTCAATATGCTCCACTAATCATGCCAACAATTAGACAGTGGTTTCTCAAAGTATTTCATTTAGGGGATTTTTGGATTAGAATGCCAATGATTGCTTTCTCTGTGCATGCATAGCTTTGGTATTGGGTAAAAATCTAGGTATTTTGCTCCCTACATGCCTTTGCGCTTACGGAATCTGTTTTGATTAATTTTTTTGCTTTCACTGTTATAGCTTGATGGTGCTCTGAAGGCTGCAGAAACTGCCCAGGCTTCCCTTCATACTGAGCGTGCAAATTCAAGGACACTATTATTCTCAGAGGAAGAGATAAAATCCCTTCAACTTCAGGTAATCCTTCAGATGAAATGAATATTCTGTGTTTTGAGCCTGTTGTTACTCTTTATTTTAGCAGTTTCGCTCAGAAATCAAAACTTGTCAGGTCTTTATTTGTTTACAGACTTGTTTTTAAATTTCTGTCTTCTGGTTTTGAAACATTAACTTCAAAAAACTAATTCCTTTAACTGGTCTCTCTGAAATTTCTTTCCAGGTTAGAGAATTGACCTTGCTTCGTGAAAGCAACATGCAATTGAGAGAGGAAAACAAGCACAACTTTGAGGAATGCCAGGTATTGCTCCAGATGGACTTTTGAGTTGATCATTTGCATCTCTGTGTTAATTCCTATATATTTTATATAGTTTATTGATGGCATTCACTAATTTGACACTCTTTTTTCCCTAACTGTTAGAAATTGCGTGAAGTAGCACAAAATACTAAAGCACAGTCTGACAAGCTAGAATCTCTATTGAGGGAGAGACAAATTGAGGTTGAAGCTTGTAAGAAGGAAATTGAAATGGACAAGGCGGAGAAAGATCACTTGGAAAAGAGAATGTCCGAGGTACTGCAACTTTAATTTGCTTTTGATGCCAAATTTCCTCCTTTGAATATTCTGACAACGGTATTTTTTTTTAAAAGCTACTTGACAGATGTAGAAATATTGATGTGGAAGATTACAATAGGATGAAGGATGATCTTCGACAGATGGAGGTAAATAAAGTGTTTTGTGCTTATTTGGTATTGTTCATGGCTCTTCAAGCTTGGATTTAATTGAGGCACCATCTACTGACAAACGTTGTCATGGTTTGTAGTCTTTGTTGAAGTGCTCATTTGGCACTGCATCAACTTCTGCATTTTAAGTGCTTTTCAAATTGATGGTTTTGATGTGCTCGTCAAAATTTCAAAATTTTTTTTTTAAAAAAAAAACATCATTTTAATGTATTTTCAATTGAAAAACACCCTGCACCACATCACCAAACGGCTTGAAATGATTTCAATTAATTGTTGGCTTGTATTCACCTTTAAGTATGGTGTGCTGATCTTAGTTTTTAGCTAATGATTAGAACTGCTGGTGCTTTAAGGATCAGCGTCTTGGTTGTTAGCTATGCATGTTCACTTTTATCCTTAGAAAGTGTTGAAAGAAAAGGTGGATGTCTAAACAATCACATTGGTAGTCTTACCTTGTCAAATAGGATCATTAGAAGAATCATGTTTTTCTTTGTTTTCTCTCGGGACCTTGTTGAACTACAGGAGTTGCCTTTTTGTTTTTTGATGGTAGTTAGTGAGTAGCCCGGATAAATCATTTTGAAATGGCACGTTTGATGCTAATGCAGCATAAGAAGTTGCATTTACTGGGCTACATAATTAAACAGAATATGTAATTGTGCTAGTCCAAACTGTACTTTTTGATCTGTCTGTGTACTTTTCCTCAAGAAAGGGGCAGTAAGTGATGGTGAATCTTCAATATAGCATAGGAGTGCAATCATTGTAATGAAATTTGGAGTGATGAATTAATGCCTCATCATGAGGTTTTCTGGCATTCAGGAAACATGTGAAAGCTCTTTTATCTTACAGTGCAAGTCAGGGTTGTGCTATTTATTTTAGCAAACAACTTGCTCCATTTATGGATTAGCTTGCTGGCGGCAAAATGCTCATTTTTTTTTTTCCTTTGTAGAGTTGAACTATTCTATTTTATAAATTTTTAGGAATCATAGAATCTTCCAGAAACTGTTCATCTGATTTTACTTGTTCTTGGCACCTCTTGAGTAATGCCTATTTTGTGCCTGTGATCCGGTTTCTGTATTGTTCTGTGTTAGCGCTCTTGTGCCTGTGATCCGGTTTCTGTATTGTTCTGTGTTAGCGCTCTCTAGATATAAATAGCTTTTGTAGTCCTCCTAGAATATTTCTTCTTCTCTATAATTTAAACGTCATTGCATTTGTCATTGTGTCTTATATATCCGCTTCTTTTTTTACCAGGAAAAATTGAGAGAAAAGGATGCTGAGATGGAGGGAATTAAGAATCTTGTATCCGAACAGCAGGAAAAAATACTGAAATTGGAGCAAGACCTTGCCAAGAGTGAATCAGAATTGAACCAAAGAGAGAGAAGGATAAGTGACATTTTGCAAACAGAGGTTTGTGCTCCACATGATTTGTAGCACTAGTTGTAGATCTTGCTGTGTGCATTTCCAAATCATCACACAATGCCCTCATGGTTTTACATGCAGGCTAGTCTCAGATCTGAGCTGGAGAAGCAGAAGAAGCTGTCTGTTCAGTGGAAGGTTGTGAAGTTAAATGAAAATCATCTTGCAAAGACTGACTGAATTATGAATTGTGAACATTATTTGGGATTACTCTGCTGTTTGCTATTAGTAGTTTTGTTCAAAAAGAAATTGTTGTATGATCAATAAAATGGTTGCACCATTCTGTTTTATTGTAGAAAAAATCTGAAATCTTATCGAAGGAGAAGGAAGAATTTAGCAAAGAAAAACAAGCACTCATCAAACAGATTGAGGACTTGAAACAAGGTATTTCTTTTCTCATAAAACTGTAATGTGGTAGTGTTGTCTGGCCATTACATTTGCCTAATTTTATTCTTTAACTCTTCAAATAGGTAAAAGATTGCTGGGAAATGTTACTGGCGAGCAGGTCTTGAAGGAAAAGGAGGAAAAAGAACACAGAATACAGGTTTTCAGACCCACCAACCTGTTATCTATTCCTCCCTATTTTCCATATTGCTTGTTTTGAACTTTCATGTAATGATCTTCCAGATTCTGGAGAAAACTGTCGAGAGGCTAAGAGAGGAGTTGAAAAGGGAGAAAGAGGATCTTCGGACCGAGAAGTCAAAGCGTCAGATTACAGAGAAGGCTGTTTTAGATTCCTACAAAAATGTTGAGCAGGTTATTTGTGGATTCACAACCATTTTCTTACTCTGCAATCAAGTTATTTCAGGATATGATAGTTTAACAGGGTGACAAGCTTGTAGCTAGAGCAAAAAATTGGACTTTGGGATATCTGTAACATGTTGAGAATGTCTTGGTTGTATATTTAAAATGTTGAGCAGGTTATTTGTGGATTCATCTTTCAACAACCATTTTCTTACTCTGCAATTAAGTTATTTCAGGATATGATAGTATAACAGGGTGACAAGCTTGTAGCTAGAGCGAAAAATTGGATTTTGGGATATCTGTAACATGTTGGGAATGTCTTTGTTATATATTCAGAGTAATGGCAAGAAAACCAGTTAAACTACAAATTTTTTTGACTTGCATGCTTGCAGTTCGTTTTATTTTATTTTGGAAAGCATATTTTGTTCTCAATGATCATAATTTATTAATGCCCAAAAGCATGATTTTATTTTCTAGTTGTTCTATCAACCAGAATTTTTCTATGGTCTAATTCTTCTGCAAACCATTTTTCTTTCTTTTACAAACTTTAGACGAAGACAAAGTTGGAGGATAAACTTGAGTTGCATAAGCAGGTTCTGAAGCGCATATCAGATGAACTGGAAAAGCTTAAGCATGCAGAAGGCAATCTTCCAGAGGTGAATTTTTTATATATATAAATTGATTTCTATTTCTTTCCTTTTTTTTTTACTTTACAGAGAAGGCAATCTTCCAGAGGTGAATTTTTTTTATATAAATTGATTTCTATTTTTATTTTTATTTTACTTTCCAAGTTTTGCATTTGAATGGATATATGGAAAGTGCTGCATCCATCAGTTCCACGTGATTTTTCTATTTGCTCATGTACCATGAGATGCCACTACGGGGCTTATAAATTATTTCTGATTCCTTGAAAGTGAGATTGCTGTCTTTTTCATTCTGCAGATTGCCGGGTGGCCATGATGAGAGTAGTGATATCTTTTTGGTTCACACTGAGAGAGACAGAGAGAGAGTGTGTGTGTGTGAGACTGAGTTTATGGATGAAAAATCTTACATGTTCTAGCATTCTTTTTCTCTTGTCCCTTTGGGAAGATTGGTCCATTGGTTGAGAACTTTATGCATTTGTTTTTTAATTTCGTTCTTCAATTCACTTCAGGGCACCTCTGTGGTTCAGCTTCTTTCGGGGACCATCTTGGATGATCTAGCTGCCACCTATGTATCAGCTATTGAGAACTTTGAAAGGGTAGCACTTTCTGTTTCCTCTGAACTTGGAGCTGGTGTCCAATCAGTGGAGAATCCTTTGATTCCAGATGCTTCTGCCACTGTTACTCCTGGTAATCAACTAATCATCTTCTTTGGTTTGCCTTAGACTACTAGGTGATAACTTTTAAGGTGGCAAGTTGCTTTCCTGCTTATCCCTATTTTCAGTTTGAGCATCTCTTTCTACTTTGCGTTGCAGGTCAGGCAGTTCCTTCTCAGGCTACCATCGTTTCATCAGTACCTCCTCATGCTCACTTACCTACTAAAATGGCTGAAGAGAAGGAGAGAAAAGTTCCTGTACCCAAACCCAATGTTGAAACTCGCAAGACAGGGAGGAAGCTGGTAAGACCCCGGCTTGTTAGACCTGAAGAACCTCCAAGCGATGTTGAGATGTCAGAGGTGGATGGATCTACTAGCGTGGCAAAGCTTACACCAGCTAGCGAGTCTGAAACTCAACACAATATCACACCATCTTCTCAGCCAATAGCCCGCAAGCGCCTTGCTTCATCTAGTTCTGACTTGAACGAGCAGTCCTTTAATCAAGGAGAGACTAGCTCTGATGTTCCACCACCTGTTTTGAAAAGACCGAAAGGTACTGATTCCGTGCAAGAAGGTAGTGAAGGACAAGCTGCCACTCCATCAGAGACACTGGTGACTCATCCGGTGGTGGAAGAATCAGCTGTCACTGATTTGTCTCAAGGTGAAGAGGAAGCTGTTGCAGAAAAGGAAGAGGTTGAGACTTCCGGAGAGAAAGCAGAGCCTCCAAAAGAATCTGAACAATTAGATGACACAACTCAAGTTGAACCAGAGAATGAGACAAATGAAGTTGCTGAAGAGATTTTGGATAAACCAAGTGAAAGTGGAATGGAAATTTATGATGGTTTGAAGGATCATGCTACTGCAGAAGACAACCAACAATCACCTGTGGAGTTTGAAAATGAGAGGGAAGAGGGGGAACTAGTTGCAGAAGTCGAGGAAGGCACTGATATGTCAAACATGGCAGGGAGCCCGGAAACTGGGGAAGTTCTTCCTGACACTACTCCTGTGGCTTCACCAGCTAGGATTGATGATGAAGCTATGGTTCCTGTGGGAATGGAGTCAGGTGAGATTAATTCTCCTGAGATGATCACTGATGAGAAGAATGATGAGGGTGATTTAGTTGAAGAAATTGGTGAGGGTTCCGACAAGTCAAATGATGGTGGTGACCAGATAGCTGTGGAGACTGATCAGAGTCCTGAGGCTGCTTCAGTCGCTGGAGAGAGAACAACAGCTACTGCCAATACAGAAATGGATGCATCAAAACAAGCTAGTTCCAGTGGAGCAGAGGCAGAAGAGGTTAGACAGGTATCACCTGCAAGTAACACCTCTACTGTTGTCAATTTAGCAGAGCGAGCTAGGCAGAGGGCAATGCTGAGACAGGGTGGAGGTGGAGGTGGAGCTCCTGCAGTACTTTCTTCTCCAAGCGCTAGAGGCCGTGGAAGAGTTCTACGTGGTCGAATAGCACGTGGTGCACGTGGTGGGCGTGGTGGGCGAAGTGGACGAGGACAAACTCCTGGTCAACAGGGTTAAGATCTTCCCCATATGGTTCTGTTAAACCCGTGAATACAGCCTCTTTCTTTCTTTTTTCTGGGAAATTGTTGAAGTCTCTGACTCTTCATTAGATCAAGCTCCTGGTCAACAGGGTTAAGATCTTCCCCGTATGGTTCTGTTAAACCCGTGAATACAACCTCTTCATTAAATCAAAGTAAACAGTCAATCACATTGCCCTAGGAAAATTTTGAGTGAATAGAAGGCATGTCTTTCCTGGTCCCCTTGTTCATTATTGACAAGCACTTTAATTATCAGATGACTTACCCCATATTTCGCTGAAACAAGATCGTAAAAAATTATGATCGAGTTGCATCCACATCCATAACTTGGCAAGACTCGGTCAGTGTTGGGATGTTTGTTATCTGCATTTTGTGGATTGCGGTACAGGTTCGAGGCACTGATTGTGGCATCTGTTTTACGAATGCTTTTCAAAATTCCAAGGGAGTTCAACTTTTGAGCTAGATTGTGATAGAATAATATTTTTTTTATTTTTAAAATTTTATTCTTATATGCTCCAAAACAATCTAAAAATATTTTTAAAAAAATTCAATTTTTTGTTTTTCACAGGTGATGAATAAGTGCTCCTGTTGGGGATGGCATCACGAGCCATCAAAATTTAGTGTACGGATGCATGAGCTCATTGAAAGGTGAAACTCTTTTTTTTTTTTTTTCCAGGGTATGAATTGTATACTTATTTCTTTATAAAATAAACATCAATTTCATTCGAACCACAATTTATAAGCAAATAATTAAAAAGGTTAGATAAACTAAAGTTCTTATAGACATTTACAAAACCAGTAAAATGAATTTCAATCCCATTTCACTTTTATTTGCACTGGGTTGGGTTTGAAATACTAAAGTTCTTATAGACATTTACAAAACCAGTAAAATGAATTTCAATCCCATTTCACTTTTATTTGCACTGGGTTGGGTTTGAAATGTGATAGGTGTTAAAAAATTATTTTAATTTAATAATTTAAATTATTAAATAGAATTTTAAAATAGCATTTATATTATTTTTAAATAACAAAAACCGGAAAGCATTCCAATTCAAGTTTTAGGTGCGATTAATGGCAATAATTGCATATCATCTTATATTTTCTGGTTGATTAAGACTCTTGTTTTTTATTTCTGTCTATATCTTTGTGGGTTTTTGTGCTATATAAACTATTAACTAATGATTTTTTTAATATTTCATTTGAAAAAAAAAATATAAAATGAAAAATCAAGATAGTACGTAGATTTATGAAGGGCTGCTCGGAAAAAAAGTGACCCTGTCTATCTACACATGAAATTTACAAAAGAAAAAACAAAAACTTTATAAAGTCGGTCATGGCACCCGGCCTGAACGACTTTCAAACTATTTTCTTCGAAAATTTCTGATGTTCCCGGAGGATTTAACTACAGGCCATCTGATAAAAGAAAGACCAGCTCTCTTCCCGGAACTGATAGCTAGAGGAACCAGGAGGTCTTAGATAAGCTCACAATGGCGACGTTATTATTTTTGCGATCAATAAAGCGATGTAATTACGCCATTTCTGGTGTATTAAAAAAAAAACAAGCAAAAACTCAAAAGGCAAGATGTCACGATGATAGGATTTGATACAGTATGTTGACGATCGCGGAAGGGTGATTTGGACTGGAATGTAAAGGAAGAGGGAATCAACAGCCTTCTCCTTCCTTCGTTTTGTTTTTTCCTTGGTTTCCGTGATCCAATAGGCATCCTTTCAAGCTGACGTCTTTGCGAGTTCTAGCTGATCGTTCGAAAGTCACAACAAGAAGTAGGATGTGAATTTTTTTTTAATAAATATGCGATTTTTTTCAATTTATTCTTTGATTAAAAAAATTATAATTGTAAATCAAAAAAATTATCCGTATATTTAATTAAATAAACAAATAACTACAGCGGCTAATAGATGCAAGTGAATATATTAAATAAAGTTATGTATCACAATCGAGATTTTAAAATATTTAAGGACCAAAAAGTTATAGTTTAAAAGATCGAATGACCAAAGTGGATTTTTCACCCGCCTATAAACTACCACCCTTTTCTCCTCATTTTATACTTTGACCATCCTAGTTTCAATTATGTCCCTCCTCAGTACTTTTCAATAACTCGGTGATGGATCTATGCATAAAAAGAAGCCATTGGGGAAAAATGAAGTTCAGGGACTGAACTATAAAGATATTTTATTGTGAATTATCATGCGTCTCAGTGTCTCTGCTAATCAACTAGGGAGGCCCTCGTCCTCGTTTTGAAAACCTTGACTATTTTTCTCACGTGAAGGATATAATTACTAAGAGTGTAAGGATACTTTCCTTCCTTCTTTTTTTTTAAGTGATAAACTAATTACGAGTTTTTGGATGAATGAGAGAGAGGGAGGAGGATTTATATTTTAGATTCATTACCAGCAGGGGAGCTGGTCGATCCTCGTATGTATTCAGTCCGGGTCGGAGGGTCTGTGGAGATCAGAAATTTTCATGGTTATCCAGTTCGATGGTTCGGTGTTAGCAGAGCCTGACACGTGCAGGATATTGTAGAGGTCAAACGTGGCAGTTCATGCTCTCCTAATAATAGAAACATCGAGATAAATGGAAAGGCCCTTCTTTTATTTTTATTTTTTTTCATGGAATAAATGGATGACTGGCAAGACTTGCACACTAAGCAAACTGGATAGTGCCGTTTTTGATTTTATCTTCTTCTAGTATCCTCCTCTTGTCTTGTCCTCTGTGTTTTTTTTTTTAAATAAAAAAAAAAGTCAAAAATCAAACAAGAAAACACGTTGCCAGTTTGAAGCTTCTCTCTCTCTCCCTCCCTTTTTTGTCTGCGAGCTCGAAAATCTTATTGAGCGCAAACTGCAGAAATATCTCCGACTATCTAGCTGGTGTCGATGGTGGCTCTAAATAGTATTTTTTTAATCAATTTTATTCACGAATAATTTTTATTTTTCAATTACAATTCCTTGAAAAATTTCTTATAAATTAACATTATTTTCTCGTAGAGAAGAAGGACGACGATATGCGGGGGATCAATGATGATAGAATATAGAATAAAATGTTAATTGATGATTTTGAAGTTTAGGAGATAATATGGATATAAAAACATGTAGTGAAGTATTGTTATTGTAATTACTTTTTAAAATATTTTTTGTTTTAAGATATATTAAAAAAATTTTAAAAAAATTATTAATATATCAAAACATTTTAAAAAGATATATAAAAAAAGAACCAGGGTACCCATATAATGTCATCTTTTTAATCTATTGTTCAAGCCTTCATACTAATGAGTACTTCTATATATATATATATATATATATATATATATATATATAAATGATTCACAG